GCTTGATTAAATATATCGAGATCGAGCTCAAGCTTAAGTTTACGAGCTCGTGCCGGCTCATGAGCCAGCTTATGTATCATAAAAAAATAATAATAATACTAATATAAGATGGTGTTATAATAAAATGACAAATATGATTAATACTTTGGAGATAAATAATAAAAAAAAATCACCTGCTATAAAATACAAAATATATTTTACATATTAATACATGTTTGATATTTAAATGTCATTTTCAGGCATGGATTGAGGCAAATGAGAAATGGATGGGCAGATGGGTCCGCATATGTGACCCAATGTCCAATTAAGTGTGGTGGGACCTACACATATAGGTTCAATGTTGAGAGCGAAGAGGGGACATTTTTCTGGCATGCTCATACCCCTTGGCTGAGGTTCACCGTTCATGGCGCCATCATTGTATACCCCAAATTATCTTCCTCCTATCCTTTCCCTAAACCACAAAAGGAGGTCCCCATCATTCTTGGTATGATACTATTATTCTTCAAATTATTGTTTATACATTTAATGTAAATATATATATTTTTTTAATTTTAGCATTTTATTATAAAAAATATTATATTTATGATTGTCCTCATTAATTTAATTTTAAAGAAATAAGACAAATAAATATATTTTTTTTAGTTTTGGAATAATTATCTTTAAAATGATTACATATATAATGTTTTTTTTTATCAATTAAAAATCAAATATATTTTAATCAAATTTGTAATTTAAAGTTTTGCATATGAAGGAGATGATTTTGATGATATTTCAATAGAATATATATATATATAAAACTAAAAAAAAATAATAATAATAATAGTAATAGTAAATCCTTATGTTGCTAATAAAACAATTCCAAACAAAAAAGAGGCAAAGATGAAAAAAGGATAATGACAATGAATGTAATAAATGACAGGACAATGGTGGAATATAAATTACGTTGAAGACTCAGAGAAAAAAATTCAGGAAGGAGTATTTCCAGCTTTCACTGATGCCTTTCTCCTCAATGGCCAACCTGGTGATTTTTTTCAGTGCTCCAGCAAAGGTATATTCAAACGTGTATTTTTTAATAAAATATGTAAATATTAATGCATTTACATACATACCACTCAATTACTATTCATTTACATGTCTAACCCCAATATTTTACATTTTACAATTTTGCTAATCAAATCTTTCACATCACATACAAAAAAAATCATCATTTTAACTAGGAAAATGAAATATACATTTTAGAGCATAATGTCACCTCCCAAAAGAGCTCTTAGGAGTGGTGGGCAGTCCCCGACTTAAATACTACTTTTTGGCTCTACACCTAGCCGATGTGGGACTTTTTTGTCCTTGACAATAAGGTATTATGTACATAAAAACTATAGTTTAGTTGTGGTTGGATATGTAAATAGGTAAAAATTGAGGGATATCTATGTAAATGTTCCATAAATGCAAACCAGCCTAAACTTGCTATTTTCAAATCAATCATCCCCTTTCATCCATTTTTCAAATTCTCACTCAAATATCAAAATTTTATGAGAAAACTCCAATTCATATTTTTCATTTTTGTCAAATTCTCAATAATTTGATCGTGACTTGCATAAATAGATCATTTATTTGTATACATTGTCATATTTTTTATTTTTATCAAATTCTTATATATTTACATATTTCCCACTCAAACTTTGATTTGTACAGCTAAAGCATCGTTTTCTATCTGTGAATAGGCGCTTAAGATGTAAAAATGAAAATTTGGGTGGGTGATAAGTAAATGCATCAGAATAGATGTTTGTATATATTACATCAGAACTCTCAAAAGCTACATTGAGATTGAAATAGTTAGAAATATCTCGTTGTGTTACAGGAATATTCTATCTGTGTTATTTGTAAAAAATAAAGTGTTATTCGAGTATTATATGGTGTTATTCGATTATTTTGTCGTGTTATTGAAATATTGTCCCGCGTTACTTGATTTGAGGCTGTGTTATTCAACATATTCCCCGTATTCTTTTAATTTTCATATTCCCTGTATTATTTTAATTTTCATTATGTTATTTGAATAACACAACCTCAAATCAAGTAACGCGGGACAATATTTCAATAACACGACAAAATAATCGAATAACACCATATAATACTCGAATAACACTTTATTTTTTACAAATAACACAGATAGAATATTCCTGTAACACAACGAGATATTTCTAACTATTTCAATCTCAATGTAGCTTTTGAGAGTTCTGATGTAATATATACAAACATCTATTCTGATGCATTTACTTATCACCCACCCAAATTTTCATTTTTACATCTTAAGCGCCTATTCACAGATAGAAAACGATGCTTTAGCTGTACAAATCAAAGTTTGAGTGGGAAATATGTAAATATATAAGAATTTGATAAAAATAAAAAATATGACAATGTTACGATACCAACATCCATTCCAATCCCCTCCTTCCCTTCCTCCCCTCCAATCTCGATCGATCCTCCGCCTTCCATTTCACCTCAAAACTCAAAAGCCCTAATCGAGTCAAGATTCCCGAACCCGTTGATGAAAATCTAACCATCGTTGTTGATCTGCATTTGGTTGGGCAAAGAGTAATCGCGAGCATGAATGATGTTTCCTTCGTGGCTCCGAGAAGAAATTCGATTCTTGAAGCAGCGTACTTCGATCAGGTTGGTGTTTTCACATCTGATTTCCCCCCTTCTCCTGCTATGAAATTTAACCATACGGTAAAGGGGACGAAGATCTACAAGATCAAATATGGATCTGTGGTTCAGGTGGTGCTGCAGGGAAGCAGCTTGCTGTTGGAGGAAGAGCATCCTATTCATTTACATGGGTATGATTTTTATGTGATGGGTAGGGGGATTGGGGAATTTGTGATGGAGAGGGATGGGGGTGAGTTGAATATGGTGGATCCTCCAAAGAGGAATACAGTGGGAATTCCGGCAGGAGGGTGGACGGTGATAAGATTTGTGGCGAATAATCCGGGGGTTTGGTTGATGCATTGTCATATGGAGATACACCATGAATGGGGGATGGCAATGGTGTTTTGGGTGGAGGATGGGGTTGGGAAGATGGAGTCTGTTAGGCCTCCCCCGACTGATCTTCCGCCATGCTAAATATTGTTGATAGTAATGGAGTTTGAGAAGATGGTAGTTGTGGAGTAAAAATGGCAAGGATTTGGGATGAGTAGTTTGATTTAGTGCTAATGGTGACTAAGGTTCTCTCTAGTAGATCTACTATTTGAAGAATCAGCTGTGAGTGTAGGTTTCAGGCAGCCACGACATTTAAGATCATAGAACACAACTTTCTACCTCTATTTTTCAAAAAGTAGGCAAAACATAATATTACTAAACCCTAAAAAGCAAGACGCGGTGCGATGCGGTGCGATGCCACACCATCACCACACTGTCGCCCCAAATGCACCCGGAGATGTTACAACTGGACTTTTGTGCAAGTGTTTTTATGTTTAGAAGAGTGAAAAGTAATCTCATCATATCATTAATGTTGTACCTCATGGTTCAAGTACTATGTTTTAATTATAATTTTTGTTTTTTTATTGTATTCCTAATGAAATATAATTAATATCTTTAATATTATGTTCAATTTTCAATCAATTATAGTTTTAGGTCATGAATCTGTTTTTTATTTTGATTTGAAAAAGAGCTTGATTTACTTATAATTGAATTTAATTATGGTTTACTTAATGTTTTAGCTTTAAGTTAATATTTGATTGATTCTAGTTTTGATTTAGATTAAAGTTAACCAAATTTTAATTAATTTAATTGAAGTTTAATTAATTAACTTAGTTTTATTTAAGTTGATATTTATTTTTCAGTTAAGCTAATTTAGTCTGTTAGGATTTAATCAATTAGCTTAAGTTATTTTAAGTTAAAATATTTAACTAAGTTTAGAAGTGTGTTAGATCCACCAGCATCACAACACAAATAATGCTCTAACCAAATTTACAGAACAAGCCATCACCACATCACCAATAAAAAAAATCACAAAAACCAAAATCACTGAAATTGCAAAATCTAACACCAGTGTACAACTACTCCAAAAACATTGACCGAATAGAGCTAGGAGAAACTAAAATGATCTCAAAATTTAAAAAAAAAATGTCGAATAGATAATGGTAGAGAATACTGTGGGCCGAGGGAGATCAAAGAAACCAAACGAAACCGAAGAACAGAGGGGATAGGGAGAGGAGAAAACAGACAAACCCTTGCCAAAGGAGTCACAGATCAGAGAGGAGGAGGAGAGCTCGGAGCCGGACATGAGAGCAAAGAGCTCGCGAAAGAGGGGAGTAAAAAGCCAAATGGAAAGGAAAGACGAAACGCGGGCCGAGGGATCGACCGCGCGACCCGCATTTTATCAAAATTATTTAAAACCTCCGTCGCGATGCACTAACCAAACACCCCCAATCGCATTTTCGTGACATGTAGTGCGAAAAACTCAGCTCAAAACGGGGCCTTAGTATAATGTTAATTAAACTTGACTAACTGAAATCCACCATATTTCATTCAAACTTTATGCACAAGTATCAGTATATGAGAATTTCAGAATTAATTTCTATCTCGTTGAACCGAGCCCATTTGGATATCAGATGAAGTCAAACACCTTTTAATGGAAGAAGAAAAAAAATCTATTAATGCAAATTCTAAAAACTTGTTTGCTTCATCTATATATTTAAGACTCAATCTAAATTTACTGATTCAACTCTTATCCATTTTGGCTATAACAATATAAACAACTAAACTTAGTAACGTGATTTTATGGTGTTCTATGGAGTTGAAATATGTTCCAATGATAGTTCTTTTATTAATGTAAAACATACAAATTCATTGATATATGATTTCAGTATGAAAAATAGTATTTCATACTTAAAACAATTCTTATATGTTAAGATAATAATTAAAACTTCTAAATGAATTCATCAAGGATAGAATTCTGACAACTACGCGGTTCAGATCTGTGTGGATTACAAATTAAGGCTCTGTTTGGCGCAGCTGCAGCTTAAAAGATGAGAAGCTGCAGCTGTGTTGCCCCATGAAGTTACTGTGGGGAAGCTGTTGCAGGGAAGTTGGATGTTTGATTGTTGCAGCTGTGTGAAAACAGCTGTGAGACAACTGTTTCTGGAAAAATGATCATTCAAAATGATCATTTTACCCTCGTTTACTAAAACTGTTTCAAACAAAACTATGACAACCAAATATTTGATACTTCATAAACATAAATTCATTTCAAAATATAACAATGTCAACAAATGTTATAAAGTGTGTAAAATGTAATTGCAAATGATTTTCATTTGATATGGAATTAATTAAAGAATTAAAATTTATGAAAACATATGCTATAAAGTGTGCAAAAAGAAAATTTCGTTTCTTTTTCCCACAGTACAGGCATGACAGTCTCTTTGTTCTCGTTGACCATTGTAGTACTACAGTAAATCCATTAAGAAAGATGCCCAAAACCTATGAAAAATTGTTAGATTGAAAACCAATTAATTCTCAGCCAAATCACGAATGATACCCACACATGCACTGTTCAAAGGTGCAGCAACATCACAAAACAATACTTTGAAATAGGCGAGCAAATAAAACATAATAAGTAAATACTTATCTCATTATTCTCAATAAATATTGAGGGAAGAGCATAGAGGAAATTTCTTGTTCAACAGATTTGTCTTATGGGAGACGGCCCTTCTTAAGAATTGAGAGGGAGTACTCAACGGTATCAAAAAGGTCAACAATGTTGTGAAGGGATCACTCTCACATCCAAATATAAAGATGGTGCGGAACTCAGCTTTCTTCGAGAGGTGAGAGGCGTAAGTGAGTGGGAGATAAGAGGATTTGAGAGATCTAAGAATTTCACGATATAAAGAGAGCACAGGTGGGGGAAGATCGCAAGTTTAAGCGGCAGAGGTCCTGCCTTGTGCGAATAGTGGAAGAGAAAATAGGTGGGGGAAGATCACAACTTGGAGCGGCGGAGGTTTTTCTTCGTGCGAACAGAGGTGGAGATCGCAGCTTACCGTGCCGAAGGAGGAGGAAGGGCGGAATCGCAAGAGGGCACCAGCGTAAAACGTCGAAGCGGAAAGTGGGCCGCTGGATCGAACCTGCGGCCGGCGTTTAAGCAAAATCGCGGGGCACCGCGCCTGCCCCATCGCCCCCATCACCATAAGAGA